CTGGTGGCCAACAGGCCTCTCTAGTCCCTGCTCTGACTCCAAACACCCTCCAGAGTCTTCTTCATCCTCCAGAGCAGTCCCATAATGTTCATCGCCGTCAGAGTCCACCAACAGCTCAGCCGGCCGCTGCTGGGCCACAACAGCTTCCCATGTTTTTGCTTTAATTTTAATCTGCCCAGATTCTAGCCTTACCCATAGCAAATCCCTAGCTATAGTCTATTTCACTGTACATCAGAGTGAAGGTAAAGGAAAATGTTCTCATTGTATTCTTGATTGTCTGCTCTTTTTTCAGAGACTCTATGGTCCAATTTAGAAGTGTGCTTCTTTAAGGATGTGGTGTCCATGTTTCAAAGGTTTATTGGTGTTAACATGTTTTTGAAGTATAAACAGAACAGCGATTGGTGTTTCAACAAAAGGGGATGTATTATGTCTCTTAAGGTTTTCCAAATGCTTTATGAGGTAAGAAACAGATTTTGACTGAAAGGAATGAATAGTAAGTTTAATTGGGTTTGTTTTTTCAACACATTCAGCTTGAATTTTGTTTTTTAGTTCCAATTATCTCCCCTTCCCCTTTTGTATTTTTCATATTTTGTACGTTTCCCTTTCTTCCATTGTATTGAAACAGTACAAGCAATAGGATTGATCCCTGCAACCCAACTTTAAAGGGTATTGTGTCTGGCTCCTAAGTGCCCCTAAGGACAACCAGAAACTCCTGAATTATAACAATCGCCACCCCATCACTCCTGCCCCAAAGCCGTGGCTAAAGCCCCGCTTGAAAACCAGGAGGGCACATTTCTGAGATAGGAAGAGCCTCCTTTATACTTAACTAGGTCTCAGCTCTTTCAACCATGATCAGATTAGATTGAGAAGGTGGTGAGCTTTTGCGAATGAAGGGCAATAGACGTATTGCAAGATCCAATCTGAGATGGTCACCATACAGTAGTGGCCAAAATTGTGGAAACCATTTGGGAAAAGTGTATTTTTTGAGGTTTGATGGCTAACACCACCACTTTTTTTTCCCTTTGCAGTAGCAAAACTTCTTTTATTTACACGACTGTGAATTCCTTTCATTCAGAGTCAGCAAGGCTTAGCAAACAGTCTTTCAGAGGAATCCACACGCACCTTATCTCGTTGGGAGCGCTGCCCGATAACTAGTTTTCAAACTCAGGGCAAGGCAAAACTTGGCACAGAGTCTCTTATAGTCACAAACAGAACTTTCCACTTTTGAAATGGCCAAATGAACGAATTGTTTCCTGCAAAAGCCCCGTTCGCTCCTCTTTTGTTTCCTACGGGATAGGCCCAATTCCCTCCAGGGCGTGGCTTTACTCCTAAATTGACCCTGCTTTCATAGTTGTTTTTGTCTTCTGGCAGCTCTGTGCATGCGCACACTGGGAACAGGCTCCAGCTGTTCCTCTGCCTCACTGCTGTCTAGCTGCCTCTCTGCCTCTAACACAAAGCCCTTGTCTGAGATTTTCTCA